AGTACAAGTTATTTGATGTTTTACAAGCTTCTTAACAATAATAGAAAGAATCTGTTATCATTTCTTGAACAGAAAAATTCATATTTAAACAAATCTAAATTTGAGAAATAACTTTAATTTAAACGATGTAAACAGGTCATAGGGGAATATAATGTGCATGTGTATTTATGAGCAATGAAAAGAATAAAAAATGTGCGCTTCCAGGAAAGAAACAGAAGAGAAAAGCAAGAACAATGATGAAGCGGAATATGAACTTGATGGAATCTCCTTTCAGTTGTACTGCAGGAAAATAATGGCAACAAATAATAATCAAAGAGAGCAGCAATTTTGGAGAACAAACTGCGGTGAGTAATGAATGAAGCCAACGAAGTGTTCCTCTAGCTCGATATCGAGAACATTAGCTCTAAATCCCTTCCCAAACCCCATCCATCTTCTTCCCTCTATAACTCAGCAGAACTTTTCCTCTTGCTCAATTAGATTTTTTCATACCCCTGTCTCGTTTCGCATTGATACATATCAAGTTTTATTCAGAATAAGTAGTAGAATATACTAAATATAACAAGTACTACTTACGTAAAAAGGGTTATTATAATCGGAATCAGTAGAAAGACCAACGTGCTGCGATAAATAAAGTCGCACCATATGATGATAAGTTGTTCCTGTCAGCTGTTACAATCAAATCTACGACATATACAAAAAATTTTCCTTCTTCCACAAAAACATCCATTTTGTATAAAACAATACAGAATTGGAAATGCAGTGAGGAAAGCACGCAGACATTTTCAACTTATCTGTTAATTTCGCGAGATAAATTTTCTTAATAGAATAATTGAGCTTGATGCGCCAACAGACTAATTGAAACAATTCATGTATTAACTTCTTCACATGGATTAAGTCTGAGAAATTTCAACGGCTCACATGCCTAAATGCTCGACGATTTAATGAATAAGTACCACAATTATAAGCAGGATGCCCCGCGGCTGGCATATTCCGTACCTCATTTCTTCACTGCAACACGTTTCCGACGTCATCGGAAACGTCTGGCGATGAAGGAGTTTTTGCAGTGAAAGCGCAGTGATTAAGTTTCAGCAAACCTGAAATACTGAAATTATCACAGTTTGGAGATATTCTCTACGAAAAATCTGCAGTATCGAGAATTAGAGCACAATGACTTCGACAACTGGAACATATACCGACAGACAGCCACAGCCACACTCATGTACAGCTTGAAATCACCTCCACATATTACACGTGCTCGATAACAAAACTCCCACCCACACACGCCAGTCAAATGAACAACACGAGCAGTCCACGGGGGTGGAAACTGTGACGAGAATGGACGGTCTGTTAAATTTCGCCCAAGTATACATGCTGCTACTCCATTTCTCGTATCAATTAGTAACTCATTAACGTTAAGGATGAAGAAACAATGAACATTGATCCATTCGGCAGACCCTTAACAATTCGGTTCTCTCTTAGATATTATTCAATGGACTGTAGCAGCGTACGTTTCTGCAACAACTTTCAATTAATTGCTCACAATTTTCCATAGAGGTTTTCTTTGATAATCATAGGCCTGACGAAGAAATAAATATCGGGAGAGCAGCCGGAATTCCTAGAGAATGTAGGTGATAATGCCTCTGTGAATCCTTCATATCGCTGTTTACTGTTGAAGTTCCCGAAACTGAATTTTGTGAGTTTTCAGAAATAATGTCGTCGTTGTGTAATTTTGTATCAAACTTCGTTTATACTTGCTTTAATTCAATTCAAATTTATCAGCGCAAAATGACTTGGTAACATATGCATAACTCGGAATATACTTAATGTGGATTTCTAATTATAAGAATTAGAGATTTTTCAGTTTTTAAATTTCAAAGTGTTATAAAAACTTGTGCAGAAATTAATGATATTGAAAAGAAGGTGTCATTATTGGACTTCAAGATAGAACATCACATGAAATGATTCAGATAACAATCCTTTCGTTTCTCACGTGCATAAACGCTTGGCTTCTATTGATCGTGATTATCCCCTTCTCTTTACCAATTCGAGGTGCACATTATACATCTTTATCTCTCACTTGGACAGATATTCGTTACATGACTTTCATTGGTCAGTATTGACTAAAGTGATTAAAGCAGTGAATCACAACGGCGATAGGATGGTGGTGATGAGAGCTGTCGCTGAAAAGAAAGTAAAAATCTACTAAAATAGAAATTTGATTCCTTCACGAACAATCAAAAGTAAATCTTTGTTGTTTTCTCTCTCTGCTACAAAGATAATATTTGATGGAACTCTAAGAAGCTCGAGTAAACAATAAATCTTTGTCAGTAGCTAAATCTCTCTAAGAGAAGACTTTTCCAACAATTACCATAATCATTAATTATCAGACCATTAAATTGCTATTACATAATTATTGTAGCATTTCTTCATTTAATCGTTATACTCCGTCGATCTTCAGTGAAGAGGTTGTTTTAAGAGTAAGTAAGCGGAAGTTAGAAGTGATGAGGACTAATTGTAAGCAAGATGAGAATCAGGAAAGTCTGACTGATGCTTACCTCTCTTATTAATTTGGGGAACTTTAATGAGTGAAAGGTGGTAACAGTAAGTTTCAGTTAGCCATAAAGCTAGCGCCTGGAAAAGGGTGCACAGAATAGAATTGTGCTGATACAACACAATATAATTAATGGTGATACAACACTGTAATAAAATAATAGCTTGCAGTAAAGATATTTTTCACATTTGAAATCATAATTATTTGGAAATGATAGTAACAATAGCGGATCAACAGTTTATCAGTTAAAGGAAAGAAAGTGTATTTTTCTTGTCTATGCAAAATATAATGATATCCTATCAGAATCTACCTGAATTAAAGGTGCCATTTGGAGATACCTCTATTTCATTTCAGTTGGAGATTCGGTTAAACGAGAATGAAAGATTTGTATTTCTAAGTTCTTTGTCGACATAGAACGATAGCATTTCGTCATTTGCTATTTCTTAAGATAGGAATTGTTTTTTTTTTATATTAAATAGATGAAGCACATCGCATTGCACAGGTAATAACGTACTTTCACCACTGAGGATATTTTCCTGTGTTATTTCGAGACTCAGAGAAAATTGCTTAACCAAATGTACCTATTTAAGAACATCACTGAATCAGAAGCAGAAAAATAGATTCATTAAAGATGAGGTGGAAAAAAACGATGACATCACAGCAGTGCAGGATATGTGAGGTGACAGGACACATTTCGGAAGAAGTTACTATTTCATAAGATATTGATGACACATTTGTGCTTTCATAACCACTGACTGATAACATCATTTTTCATCACTTGGAGAACGCTGTTCAATGCTTTCAGATGTATGCTCTATATCTGTCGAGTCAGTCTTGAAATTTTTCACTCTTATTTTTGAATTGTAAGTGAAGAAATATTGCTGTTCCAGTTATTATTGCGCGTTGTACTAAAAAATCTTGCGACGATGTAGAATTTTGGGTATTTTCAAGTTTTATCTTCTAAAAGTAAACATTTTTCTAGTTGTGATAGTTTGATATTTATTGCAATGTCATTATATTTTGCATGAACAAGAAAAATACACTTTCTTTCCTTTACTGTTTTCCGCTATTATTACTATTATTTTCAAATGATTATGATTTCAAATGTAAAAAATATCTTTACTGTAAGCTATTATTTTATTGTTGAAAACAGTGTTGTATCAACATTAGTTAAAGCGTTGGAAATATTTATCACTCATTTCATGAGTGATAAATATTTTTTATGATTAACTGAAACTTACTGTTACCACCTTTCACTCATTAAAGTTCGCGAACTAATGAGAGAGGTAAGCATCAGTAAGGCAACTTTTACTTTCCTGGTTCTCATCCGTTGCTTGTCCTTATCACTTTCAACTTCCGCTTACTCACCCTTACAACAACGGAAATGAAAAGTTCTGCTGTACAAAGAGGGCTTAAAGTGCCACAGCCTCACCTTCTCATTAATCTCTCCCTGTCTTCACCTTCCCCTCTGCCTTTCTTCTTTCCCTGCCTTTCCTATCATCTAAAAAAGCCTTTTGTCATCATTATCGTTTCGCACTGTCCCACATAACAGATAAGCCACGTATTTGCATGGTGATAGATGCATGCATGTTGTGTTTGCATATGTGTTGCTTGTTATATACGTTTCTTCCAAATATAACAACGATGATCATACTCCGTGGACCGTCGTTCATTGCAAATTATGTACAGGAAAAATCCGACAGTATGCCTTCTTGTTATCTTTGCCACAATACATTCTCGACATTCTTTATTTCAGTGTTGAGCTTCCTTTGTTCCTCACCAACAGCCTCCATTCCAATTTTCTTCATTGCTCTCCGATTTTTATTTTGTCGTCCCGACTCATGAAAAATTTCACTTTCACTTCCTATATCGGTTCCCACTCATCTTATTTCATTTATTCCATTTCGAATACGAATTCAAATGCACTTTGTTTTGCTTTGTCTAGCAACAAACAGAAATAAGTCAACTGTCATGAGTACGATTGTTCCTTTCCTTTTCCCATTTCCCTTCTTCTTCTTCCTTCCCACATATTTCCTATTTTTGACCCGCAACGATTTGTCAGCTCCCTTTGAAGCTTCCGCTAGAGCAACATTTGCTGCTATTTTTAGTTAAAAATTGTTTCTGACGACCTCTACATTAACGAAAATTTGGACAAAAAAGGACTAAACACTGTTAGAACCGTGCAAGGTAACGAAAGACACCATGACCTTACTGCAGACCGGTCCCTATCCGTGTCCAGTGGTATTGGAATGAGAAGAAATGCCAAGGTAAATAGTTAAGCAGTAGAGCAATACTTAACACTTTCCGTTTTCCACTTTTTTGACAAATAGTTCTTTGAAGAAAAGTGTATTGTATATTTGTTCACTAAAAATAAATGTTTTGTTTGGAGGAGGAAGAGGCCAACTGTCTTATTTTTTTCCTGAAAACTCCTTGGAATAAATCTTTCAAAAATTTCTTCGTTGAATGTGAAATCAAACATTTCCATTTGCTTCTGACTGTTGTTTGAAATCCAATTTTTTCCTTATCATTCTGTGATTATCTGCAATGAAATAGAACTTAGTTGGGAAATTTATTTTTCAAGCTCATGTTTTTCAAATTTGGAATAGAATCCAAGAATTTTATAAAATTTTCGTCTATTCGATTCTTGCTCAATGATCTATTGATGAAAGAATGAGATATTGTGATAGAATGACTACGGGTGGTAAAGTCTATTTCTGAACCTTAAATCGATGAATTTAGATAGTGAAATATATTTTTTTCAAATACGACAGCAAATGATGGACTCAAAATGAGTATAGAGCTGTGAAGTAAGGTTTAGAATGAAGGAAATGAAATCAGCTTCCGGAAATATCTCATTACATCACTATAATCCGACTGGAAATGTTTTGCACACAACGGAGCAATGGGAACTGTTAGAAAACTACCTGCTGTTGTATAATTCCACGTTGGCTAATTTGATGGCCTTAGCGCCGCATTACTTTTAGCTGTTTATTTTATTCTCTCCAGCTTTTTTCTGATAACCGATCATTACCGTTAGTTAATTTATCTTCACATATTATAAACCATAATTCATTGAGAGTCAATGGCGGAAACAAATTTTCACTATAAGAGCAATGATAGGCCCTCTCATTCCGCAGATAGCTGCTGCTGCCACATCAATTTCACATCATCAACTAACAAACTATATATCATAATTATTGATTAGCCGTTCTTCGACTTTCTAATTCCCTTTTACTCATTTTTCTACGAGACCAACTGTAATAGAGAGGTGTCGCAGTGAGTGGACAGTCAATAGTTGTATTCATCGAACTATGCCAAAAAAGCTGGGAGAATAACAAGTTCAGGTAAACAGACGAAGAGACTGAGCAGAAAGTAATATGTGAATTATAAATGATCAAAATACTCTTCTCCTGTATGAAATGGGAGGAGAAGAATAAAGTGCAAGTTTCCTTATCTTATCTGTTATCACTGATAGAGACAGAGAGTGTCAACAAATCGCTCCTCCCATCTATCTTATCTACCAGCACTCTTTCATTCTCTGAAATGGCGATCAGTGGGGCAACGACAATGCTAAAGATGACGTGACGTGAGACCGACCTTAACAGCTGATCAATAGTAGCGAGGATATTGGTAAAGGAATAATTGTAGTAGGAGGAATAAGATCAATAACAGAATACCAGCAAAGAGCAGAAGTGCTGTTACTGATGGACATACCCTTTTGGACCTTATCTTGCCCTTTTAGGCCTTCTCTGTGCTTCCTTCAAATTCCTCTCTAGTTGGGTGCTGTCTACTTCACTTGCTGTAATATCCACCTCTCATTTCATTTCCTTACCAACGGTTCAGCACATCTTCCATCTCCAGCTGAGGTCTAAAATGAATTTCTCAAATGATTTCATTACGTGTGATCAGTGAGTTGGAGAAATCTTTTATATTTTCAGTGCTGGTCGTGCTGTGTAATGTTAAATCGATCATTTCAAGATGAATTTGAAACATTTTGTAAATATGATGTCGTTCCTTGCACCCTCCATCGAGCCCACATCACCGTTTTCCACAGTTCACATTGTAAACGAATTCCTCTCCTCTGCTCTGTGATCTGACAGGTCCTTCACTTCTCAACCGTGTTTTTGAAAGGTACAACACGCAAATCAGTCACATGTTTGTACAGTTTTCTATTGTCATCTCCCTATCAGTGTCTTTGATAATACTTATCAGTTTCTGTTACAACAGATTTATGCATCATGTTTACCCAGTAAGTTTAGTTGTCGTCCAAGAACGGGACCACTTATCCGTGCTCTTTAGATAAATTCGCACGAGAATGCTGCATATTCGATCCTCTGACATGGGATATGCTGATGACTAGATCAGATCAGCGGGAATATCTTTCATTAGTTGATACCGGTGAATTTGCTCAGACTTGCAGAAATGTTGCAAACGGGTGACGCTCGAATTGGTTTGGATGGGCCAACTGTGACAGCGGAAGACGGATTCTTAACAAAAGTGATGACCAGTTCGATGGACGTAAGGAAAGTTATTGCCCTGATTGGTGCATTCTATTGGACTGTGATGACTATTTTTGTTGTTCCCGGTATTATCGCCGCAACGTTCCTTACCGTGATGGTACCTGCTCTTTGTATCAGGTTCGTCCGCTCCATCGCAGCTGATGTTGGATTGATTAGAAAAATGGAAACGTAATACGAACTCGCTAACTTTCTCATTTCCAGCGTCTCATGGTTTAACTGGCTTGATCACAAGCTTTGCCGTATGGTAAACGATCATTGGAGTTCGGCTATACAAATTGCAGGTATTAATATTGTGGAGTACGGCGATGACATTTCCAAGGTTTCTTTTATCTTATTGCTCCAGCAGCTCGACAACTTTTCTGCTCACCTTCTGATAGTTGGTGTATTTTTCAGTTCACGCTCTTGTCGTCTTTATTTTTTCTCCGCAGATAATTGCAATGACCATCTCTTATTTTTACGTAATACACAAAGGAATCGATACTTCAGATTTTATCGATGAGATCTAACTAAGTTGATGACCACGCAACAAAAATTCACACCACTGCTGGATTAAATTTGAATTTAATAATTTAAAAACGGAGATGTGTATTATAATGAAAATTTTGCAGCTCTCCGAAAAACGGGTTTTATTTCTTGCTAATCATTTGGGTCTTGCTGATCATTTCGTGATTATGTCAGCATTACGAAACAAAGGAACTATTGTTGAAAGGGTGCATGTGTTCAGTTGAAGTATTTTTGAACCAAGTTTTTTTTGCATTAATAGTCTATTTCTGGTTAAGGGAACTATTAAATATATTGTTTCTCTCGTAGGAAATTGAATTATTTAGAAATTCAAAGAATTTAAATTTTCAATAAGTGTTAGTGTATTGTATTCGGTTAGTTTATTGTACTGCTTTAGTATCTTTGGGTAATATATAACATATGGAAAATGACACCACTGGGTATGATGTGGATTATCCATGGCAATTATTTTGTTGATGGTGGTGCTGCAAAACGAAACCAAATGATAGAGGATTTCAAAACACATTTGAAAAAGAATTATTGGAAATATGATTATCGATGGATTATTATGTACCCGGAGGGTAGTAATGTTATAATTTACTTTCCGATAGTCTTATTTAGTTTAACAAAATTTTTGTGCATGGCCGGTTTCCAGATTTCTTGGCCCGTAATTGAATTCGTCAAAAAGTGAGTATGAATAACTGTGTTGGATTTCATAGAACTCTCTTGAATTTCATTATACTCGATAGTTTGCAAAAAAAGAAGTGCTGATTTAGATCGAAAAATTAGTCTTTTATAGGTAAAATGAGTTGTTCGCTATAATTGGACCGTCGATATTTAGTTTTATATTATCATAAGACTTACTTCTGGATTTTTGTTTCTAGGAGCAAGACTATATCGGATCAAAGAAAGTAATGTTCGATACGCAGCTCGGGAAGGCTACAAGATTTTCCGGCATTGTGCACTACCACGTACTGGCGCTGCTCATGCTGCTATCGAAATAACAACTGGTAGCAGTTGTGGTAACTATGTGGAATGAAATTGTCTTCGGATACTATTTTCCTTTATTCCAGATACAGCTCTTTTTACTTTTTCAGCAGTCGTTGAGGATACCGACAATTCACTCGAATACATCGTTGATTGTACCTTGGGATACCAGGACGGAAATGTGCCCAGTATTGGTAATTGGCTACTCGGCGAATTGCCGAATGGAATTCCAAATGTTGCTATTTATTACAAAGTGAGCTTTGTTTACTGTCTCATGCTGGGAATAAGTTTTAATTTTTAGAAAGTTTCCCAAGTAAGGCAGATATGATTCGTGCAACTTTTTTATTTGGAATATGGTAGCCTTTATTTGATAATTCATTAGTCGAGGACAGGACATTAACAGGCTAGTCATCTTTAAAAATTGGCACCTAATTTAGTTAAATATCCAGTTCTTTAATATATTCCATTGCCATTCCTTGTGGAATTTCAATTATAGAGTCTGGTAACTGAGGAACATAATGTTTCACGCATATTCAACGAATTTTCATAATGTTTAAATCAACCAGTTATCTTTGATTTATTAACTTTTCCTGGTGAAATATATTCAGCTGCAGATTTATCGAATAAAGCCTGAATGGAAAGACGAAAATATGCTAAGACATTGGCTCTATGACATCTATGAAGAAAAAGTAAGTCAAATTTGCTTTCACAAACAGAAGAAAATTATAATTGAAAATTTCATCACACATACCATTTCCTTTATTTCCCTAAAGAAATTTCATTTTCTTCTTTTCTGAAATACCTGTTTTTAAGGATGAGTTACTGGAAAAGTACTATCAGAGTGGCGTATTTCCGATGGATTCACAGCATCATCCAACCATTGTACGTACTTCAATGTCCAGTTGTTTATTTGTTGAAGCATTTTGGCTTTTACTCTTTTACCTTCACTATGTCATATGGTTGAAGTCAGTTGGTAGTCTGATCTACCGATGTTTTGTTGCTACATTTGCTTTTCTTGGGATCTTTTAAATTCTTTCCAAATATCATACTTCCTTCTTCCATTCTTTCCCAAGCAATACTGCAGATCGACCCAACTGTCGGCATATCAATCAAAGAGTGAGTTCTAACTCATAGTTCTTTTTAGTCAAATAGCCTCAAAGACCACATTAGGAAATTCCACAATCACTGTCACAAAGGATTTAAATGAAATTTTTTTTTTAATTTGGGTAATTTGTTATTTCTAAATCTTTTCAAGTGTTTTTACCATGAATGTTTTCGTCTTCTCTTCTCAAAAAAAGACATGCATGATGAAAATTATCGAATGTTATTAATTCAGTCTAATGAGCGCTGTTGACAATTTATCCGTTTTCCAAACTACTCCATATTCATCGGTATCAAGTTTCTTTTTATTCTTTCAATTTTACTATTTTCCTTGATCTTTCAAAATTATTGAAAACCTAAAAGGTAAAATAATGGGAATTATCAACCGACACTATTATCCACATTTGTTATTTTGTATGTTTTTTATCCTTTCCTTAAATTCATCATCCTTTTTGGTTTGATCAAATCGGGCAGAAGTAAAGTGAGGATGGAAATGATTGATAAGCAGTGAGGAGCCAATATTTAGCAAATATATTTAAGAAACCCGAATACAAATGCTTGAAATAGGGAAGGAAAATTTTTTTAAAAGTAGACATCTGTTAAATCATGAGCATACAGTATCCTTTGAACATTGAAAACGAGGTGACTACAGATCGGTGTACAAATATTAGCACCAGAACAATTTAGTACCCGTATGCGATATCTTCAAAGCTAATACTTCTTTCTTAGCTGAACATTGCATCATATTTCCATCAAATATTCCGTGTTGTCAGCTTATTTGTTAACTATGCCTTATCTGCTGAATACTTATTGAATTTGCATTATTTTGTAAAGTAAAAACTGATACCAACTTTTTTCAGCGTGAATATCAATATTTTGCAGTGTTTTATTCGGGATGTTCTTACAGTTGCAAAAAATAGGAATTCATTCATTTTATTTATCACATAATTTTCTTACTTTACGAAGAATCAGAGATTCAAAGATACCTTTCATTAAAATATGATTAAATGCCATTACTTTCTTGAGTGGAATTTTAAGATAAAGAAAACTTTAGTGGATGAATAAGCAGAGAAAGTCAGCGTAGCGGAAAATAGATGAGTTCTAACGTCGAAAGAGTGCCAGGTCGATATCAGTAGAGGGAATATGTCTTCGTAAGCGAATCCGTTGTATCACCTCGACTGGGGTCATTGCTGTGAATAAGTTCGTAATGCAAACAGTTTTGTGAATTTTATCCTAAAAATGTCAAATTAAACTGCCTTCGAAAAGCTCCCAAACAAAGTAACTTGATATATTTGCATTTAACAGTATTCAGTTTTGACATATCAATCCTCGCGGAGATTTCTGTTCAACGGTCCCGAAAAAAAACTGCTGAGAACAAGAACCTTAACCGGTGTTGAGGTTCGTACTCTCAATCACAGTTCAAAAAACTCGAACCATTGTCCTGACACGGATTTTTTGATACAGATTCGCGACATGATGTCCTTTTTCTAAGTTCAAGTCAACGGGTTGTGGTTAGTCATTAATATCAAGTTCACAACAGGTTGTGAAATGAAGTTTAGAAAATCCGAGCAATGCTGGAGAAATATTATTTTTTTTAAGGAAGGAAAAGATGATTTACGTGAAAAGTGCTACTTATAACTTTACTTTAAGTAAGCAAAACCATAAATCGTACTTTCACTCCAAAAGAAGTCCGCTATATTTCAATTATTTAATTTGAAAATAATAGTCGACAACGGCTTCTTAAAACCTTAACAGGCAGAACTCAGTAGCTCATCGAAATGCCCTGTACATAAGACGTGCATTTTTTTCATAATCCTACCTGAGACTGGAAAAGTTAATTAACTATGCATGAAATGAGGTGACAAATGAATCGAAATTCCATATTTCGGTTTGCCTTCATGCATCAGACCAGTCCCCACTACCTGAAAGCGCTTAGATTCCCTGACGTTGGAAAACGAATGGCTTGAATTCTTTTGGTTTCAATGAGCTGTACCTTACGGAGATTCCAGAAATGGGATTTAGGTGGAATGAATTCGCAGGACAAACAGAACCAAATAATTAAATGAAATAACGCTGATCCTCATTAAAACTTCAGATATTTTACAATTGCGCATCGAATTTTTTAATAATTATTAACTTCCAATTGAAATAAGTATTCAATAAATTCAAAGTGCACATGTATATAAATAACAAAGGTATTCGCAACTCACAAAAAAATATTTTAAAAACGCTTTGCTTTTCAGGAATCTATATTTAATTAAAAAATCTCCCATGAATCTTCAGAATTATAATGCTCTATTTCCCTCTCTTGCTATACTGACCTTATGAAAAAGTTTTCTAAAACAATCTTCCAGCCTAAAGTGAACGTTTAGTGAACCGTTTCATGCCTACCTTCAGAGTTGCAAGTTTAGTGCTAAAAGTTATACGGTAAACATAGCGTTACGAGAAATCTTTACACAATATCAAATAAAATTAGTCGCCTATACAATCATTCATAATATTTTGATATTTTGAAGCACAGGAAGAATATATTTTTACTCAGAATATTAAAGAATTTAAACAGATCTTGAAACCAATCGATTATTTTTTGTTCGGAACAATCAATGTTGTTTTGAAAGTTGTATATGCGACGCACTTTCTGTAATACATAATGGCAACCACACTTAATCAGAACAGTTAGATTGAAAAAACAATCCTGATTCATCTAAATGTGAAGCATCATCTTTCAAATACTCCTTTTAAAAGCAATTTCAATATTTATGATGAGGTTAAATTGCCTGAAACCGGAAAAAGGAATGAGTATTTCCCAAGTGTTAATGTGAGCCAAACTCCAAAAGATGAGAAGCATCCGGAGAGCAAGAAAAAGAACTCAATAACACAAATTTAAAATCTCGGAAAACAAACAAACGTGAAATAGTGGAATAGGGAAAACACCGGCAAATGAAAACGCGTAATATGAAAATGAGCATTCAAATGTAAATATATGTATTAATAGCGGTCGCCAAAAATGTACAACAATTCTGTGTCAAAAAACATGATCCAAAGGAACAATAATTGGAATTAAACTGTAAAAAGGTTTAGAAATGTGGCACTTCCGAAAAAAATCACAACACTGTTAATGCTTTACTTCTGTACTGCAATAAAACAATTACCAGGACCATTAGAACTTCCCAGCCATTCTATGATTATTTACCCATCCTGGTCGATTAATTAATCACTCCGTCAGATTAATTTAAGAGAGGAAAATATACACCACTCAGATTCAATAATTTGATGTACATATATTTCCTGGCTATTAAGCATTAAAGGATATACATGAAAATATCTGGAATAGCTAATACCTTGCACGATATATTAGAAACATTCTTAATGCTAACATCCTATGGTAACATTAAGATCAGTGGGTAACACGGGGATAAAGAAAAAATAGTGCAAAAATATTTGAGTTAAATGAAAAATCCTGATGAAGAACAATCTACAAATGCCTTACAAACGAATAATAAACAATCATCAGTGAATAAACAATTCGTAAAAGTAAAGTGAAAGGAAAAAGACAACAAATTTGCTGTAACGGATTTCATGAGCAACAAAGGCAGCTTTATTTGGGAACTTGCTTTATTCCTGTCTGTAACTGGAAAGTTATTAAACTACTGAAAATTCTTCATCATTCTAGAACTTCAGTACAACCCATTCCATATTAATCAATCAATCAATCAGTCCCGTTTTAAAAAAATTAGGTTTTAGAAGATATAAAAGAAAGAAAAATGGATATCACCCAATGCAAATAATTTAAAACATGCATATTGTCTGGTTATTAAGTATTATATATGACAATGTCAAGTACTGGACTACTGCCAGCATTTTGCAAATGGTTTACATATGAATAGTGAGAATTCATATTTGGATTTTGAAACAAAAAAAAAAAGTTTCATTTCTCGAAAAATGTTAAATATTGGAATGATTAGGAAAATATTGGCTAAAGTGATGTGATTAGATGAATTGAAGAGTACTGATATAGTCAACAATTCTCTCTGCTTCTAACAAACCTATACATTTATGTGCGTACATGTGCATCACCGTTCGCGTCTGTTATTTTGATGCGTCAATGTATGAGTATTAAGAGCGTCAGCAGTTGTGAAGCCGGCATCACACTGTTTGCAAATGTGCGGTCGATCGCAAACGTGCGAAAGCCAATGTCGCTGAAGAGCAAATGCATCCGGGAATGACTGTCCACAAATGGCACAAGGTAAAGCTGCTGATGCTATTGCGACACTTAGTTTTGTTTGCTGATCTTGTTTTACCAATCCATTGCTTTAAATAACGAAATAAAATAGGTTATAAATCTGTTTAAAGGTAGAAACTTAATGCATCTGGCAGATGAAAGTTGAAAGCACTAATTACAGTACGAATTATGTCTATATTCTAATAAGTGTCTCATCGTACTCCTTTCTGTTTCACTTCCTAACCATTATTCAATTCTGTCAACGATAAGTTAACAGGAGCTTAATACAATTATACTTTTACACAGCTCATTGCTGAAATTTTCTTTTTCGTTATGGAACGACAAACCTCGTTAGAGCGGTCCCAGTGCCTGTATCACCAGCATCCATCGATAATATTGACATAGAGCTGGATGTCGATGTTTTTAAACATGCAGTATGCGATTCTTCCGGTGCATTCGGACTGTGATTCGGCACCGAATTAGCGTGTTGTCCAGGTGTTGAATTTGTTAATTTACGGTGCAGAACTACCGATGTGTCGCTTGCATCTGGCAACACCATGACTGCACTCTCGATCTCGTCACGACTATCTTAAAAAATGGTATTTGAATCATTACATCCGAATTCTTTAAATGAT